AGGAGGAGGAGGAAGGAGGAGGAGGAGGAGGAGGAGGAGGAGGGGCCCCAACCGCCGTGTGGAACACACGAGCTGCCCACCGCCCGGACGCACACGGCGCCAGTCCTCTAGGAGTCACAAACGGTGCGCTGAGACCAGCAGCCTCGCCCTGCCTTTCACAGCCCGCCCTGAGGGAACCCTACATTTCCCGGGCAGGAACCAGAGCTCCAGGATGCGCAGTCGCACGGCGGCGTGCACAACCGAGCAGGCTTTCTGGACTCCGGGGCTGGAGCTCGGCCTCAGATCCTCGGACCGCAGTGCTCTGCAAGGGCGTCGTGTGCGGTAGTCCTGCGGGAGTCCCCGGGCACAGTTCCGGAACAAGCCCGACCCCACCCGGACGGAGGAGGGTGTCAGAGGCCGGGGCGCAGTCCGGTCCTTCTCCCCAGGCTCCGCCTCCTGGGACAACCAAGGGAGAGTCGGGTGCGGCTGGTCCAGCAGGATGGGGTCCTTGGGAAAGGGGGAAGAGGGCAGCCCGGAGCCCCGGGGCGGAGCCGGTGAACCCCAGGACTCTGGCTCTCACCCGCGCAGTTCCCCGGGGACCTGCAGGCCGACCCCATTCCTCCCGTAAGTGGCTCCTCTAGCCAAGGGGCCGTGGCCCGGTCCAGACCAGAGCCAGCGGGGAGGGCGGGCGGGTTCCCTGCGCACCCCAGCTCTGCAGCGCTGGAAGAAGAGAGCTGACTAACCCGTCACAGCCAACAGCTTACTGGACGGAGCAGACGCTCCTGACTCCGCCGTGAGCACCGAAGCCGATGGCACGTGTGCTAGGAACGGGACTGGACGGGCTTTTCGGTCCATGGTGGTGGTGGTGGTACCGGGTCTGACCCCAGGGCCTTCACCCTGAGCTACATCCCCAGCTTTTTCACTTTTATTTTGAGACAGGATCCCGCTAAGCCGCTAAACTGCCAAGGCTGGAACTGAACTTGAGATCCCGAGCGCTGGGCTGAGGCGTGCAGCGCCTCGCTCGGCTTGGACGGTTTTTCAGGACACAACACGGCGCCGCCGTCTCTGCATCTCCTCTCCGGCCCCGCCGGTGCGCGCAGGTCTCACGCGGCCCGCGGCCTGTGAGCACCAACAGCGGAGGTTCGGGCTCCCACGGCCGCACGCGCGGTGTCCTCCTGGATCGCGGGCGCAGGGCCCTCGGCGCCGCCGCGGCCTCCGCTCTTTTGGGGTCAAATGTTTAATGAGGAGCACAAACCCAGCATAGGCAGGCTGGGCCGGGCCGTGCGGCCTCGGGCACGATTTCTTTAAAGCCTCGGCTAACGCAGCTGCTGCGTCCTCGACGTGCGGTAGAAGACAGCAGGAGAGAAAATGCTGGAATGCACGAAAAGAGGAAAAGCGCAAACAAGCTCGCTGCGCAGGCGCCACAGAGGGCTGCGGCCC